CACAAACTGTGATGGCTTTTGGGCTTCAGTTTTAATTGGGTCCGACTTCTTCAGTTTGAATGGGCCCGGCAAAAAAAAAGACACAAATAGGCACATGCCTTGTCAAGGTCACGCCGTACTCCAGCCTCTTGCAAAATAAATCCGTGAAGTTCTGATTGAAGATGTGCTTGGCACGAAGGACCGTGGAAGTTCCAGTCGGCACAAGGACAGCCGCCATGAGGCTGCCGGAGCACGGGATATTGGCCGTTTCTTGTCGGGTGAGAGCTGCGCGTCTTGTGTGAATTTGTGTGAGTGTAAAGCTCGAAAGCAAACACAACCGTTTCCAGCAAATAGGCTTTCGGACTGCAAGCTTCGCATGTCGCTTCACTGTGGTGCAGCACTACACAGGTCGCTGCAAACAGGGCTTGTTTCGGTACGACTGACACGCCCCCCCTCAGTTCACTAGACTCCTTGTGAGTCGCCCCACTGCACACTGCGAGCTCAACAGAGTTGCACAGTTTGCACAAGCTTCAGACCACGTGCCACTTCCCTCAGCAGCCTCGTCGTAGTTCGCTATCACATTGGGCTCCCTCCAGCATCAACTGCATGAACAAGATAGTGGAACATAGCCATCCATGCAATTCTCGTAAATCGTCAGAGCCGTGTCGGATACGACGCTACACAGCATACCTAAGATTGCAAAGGTTGCCAAGCCATCATGCGAATGGTGCAAGCATTGCCGGCAGGATGACTCATGGCAAAGCCAAAGCTGGGGCCAGGACAAGTCAGGGACATGGGCACAAACTGTGATGGCTTTTGGGCTTCAGTTTTAATTGGTGCCGACTTCTTCAGTTTGAATGGGCCCGGCAGAAAAAAGACACAAATAGGCACATGCCTTGTCAAGGTCACGTCGTACTCCAGCCTCTTGCAAAATAAATCCGTGAAGTTCTGATTGAAGATGTGCTTGGCACGAAGGACCGTGGAAGTTCCAGTCGGCACAAGGACAGCCGCCATGAGGCTGCCGGAGCACGGGATATTGGCCGTTTCTTGTCGGGTGAGAGCTGCGCGTCTTGTGTGAATTTGTATGAGTGTAAAGCTCGAAAGCAAACACAACCGTTTCCAGCAAATAGGCTTTCGGACTGCAAGCTTCACATGTCGTTTCACTGTGGTGCAGCACTACACAGGTCGCTGCAAACAGGGCTTGTTTCGGTACGATTGACACGCCTCCCCTCAGTTCACTAGACTCCTTGTGTGAGTCGCCCCACTGCACACTGCGAGCTCAACAGAGTTGCACAGTTTGCACAAGCTTCAGACCACGTGCCACTTCCCTCAGCAGCCTCGTCGTAGTTCGCTATCACATTGGGCTCCCTCCAGCATCAACTGCATGAACAAGATAGTGGAACATAGCCATCCATGCAATTCTCGTAAATCGTCAGAGCCGTGTCGGATACGACGCTACACAGGATACCTAAGATTGTAAAGATTGCCAACCCTTCACTCACGGGATAGGCAAGAATCTATTTAGAGAAGGATAAAATCTTCTTAAGGATCAAACATACTTAAACAAGTATCAAAAAATGATAAAATAGCATCAACCAATCAAATATTTTCATAAGGAAGGCCGGAGGGAAGGAAGGAAGCAAGGAGGCAAGGAAGCAAGGCAGGAAGGAAGGAAGGAAGGAAGGAAGGAAGCAAGGAAGCAAGGAAGCAAGGAAGCAAGGAAGCAAGGAAGCAAGGAAGCAAGGAAGCAAGGAAGCAAGGAAGCAAGGAAGCAAGGAAGCAAGGAAGCAAGGAAGGAAAGAAGCAAGGCAGGAAGGAAGAAGGAAGGAAGGAAGGGAGGAAGGAAGGAAGAAAGGAAGGAAGGAAGGACGAAATGAAGCAAGCAAGCAAGCAAGCAAGCAAGGAAGCAAGGAAGGAAGGAAGGAAGCTTCTCTCTGCTTGTGCTGTGTGCGCAGCCCTATTGTGTTTGCCAATATGGGGGTTGGGGGGGGGGGCTGCGCCCCCAACCCCCCTCCCCCCCTCCCCCAGACACCCCTCCACCAGCCCCCTACCCCTAAACTCACTCCCCCTTATTTCTGTTAACCTTAATGTAAGTTATTTTGATCTTTTGATCCCTGTGGTTTAATATTTTGATCCTTATTTACCTTTTTTTTGATCCGTCACCCTCACACCACGCGAACGGCCCTTCCAAGCATCGCCGGCAGGATGACTCATGGCAAAGCCACAGCTGGGGCCAGGACACTCCCAGTTTGGGGAGCATCAGGGACATACTCACAGGCAACGTGGCTCTGTGATATCTCTTGGGCTTTAGTTTTGAATAGGTCCGACTGCTTCAATCTGTGATGAAATCTGATTGAAAATGTGCTTGGCACGAAGGACCGTGGAAGTTCCAGTCGGCACCAGGACAGCCGCCATGAGGTTGCCGGAGCACGGGAAATTGGCCGTTTCTTGTCGGGTGAGAGCTGCGTGTCTTGTGTGGCGTGTAAAGCCAGCCTGACAGCAACACAACCGTTTCCACGAGTTCAACAAAGCTGCGCACTTTGCACAAGCTTCAGACCACGTGCCACTTCCCCTCAGCAGCCTCGTCGTAGTTCGCTATCACATTGGGCTCCCTCCAGCATCAACTCGAGGAACAAGATAGCGGAACATAGCCATCCATGCAATTCTCGTAAATCGTCAGAGCCGTGTCGGATACGACGCTACAGAGGATACCTAAGACTGTGAAGATTGCCAACCCATCACGCGAACGGCCCTTCCAAGCATCACTGGCAGGATGACTCATGGCAAAGCCACAGCTGGGGCCAGGACAAGGAGCACCAGGGGACATGGGCACAAGCTCAAGGGCAGCGTGGCTCTGTGATGGCTCTCGGGCTTCAGTTTTACATGGGTCCGACTTTCTCAATTTGTGTCGGGCACGAAGGATCGTGGCAGTTCCAGCCGGCACCAAAACCGCCACCACGAGGCCGCCGGGTGAGACCAGGGTTTTCGGTGGTGGAGAATCCTTTCAGCTTGCATCTGCACACGGGAGCCCGGCACCTGCAAAAGTCGGGTCCGTTCGAGGACCGGAACTCCTGGAACAGCGGCGAGGACTCAAGTGACTCAAGTGACTAAAGTGACTAAAGTGACCAAAGTGACCAAAGTGACTTAAGTTGACTTAAGTGACTTAGGTGACTAAAGTTGTGTTGTGAGTGCGTATGCCGGCTTGTGAGCTCAGCACAGGACAGCCGAACGCGGCATGGGGGTGCCACACCCTCAGCTCCTGCAGAGTTGGCAATGGAGAAACTCATCTTTTGGTGAAACGGTGTGCCAAAAACAAGTTCTGAAACAAGACGGCCTGCATGGATGCTCTCGCCGCTCTGGCCACTCGCGCGCTGGGAAGATGGACGCTATCAGCCGCTATCATCGTGCGGCCATGGATGCTGTAGCCATTCGCACGCATTAGCAATATGGACGGTACTATCGTGCAGGCATAGACGCTCTGGCCGGAAAGGATGCGGTTAGTATGCGGGACACATGCAAAACGTGTGAACATTCAGGGGGGATCCAGTTGTTCGAGAACCGAGGAAAATGACACTCAAGTCTAGCTCGTTGTGTGTTTACAGGCCATCGAAAAACACGCTGCGTACAAGAAGGGTTGGGCAAACATTGAGGGCCGATCCGAAGCTCAGGCCGACGGATGACTGGGCCTTTGTAGTTTAAGGTTTAAAGTTGAAAGCTAAGGGTGCCAAGATTTGCGGGCCTACACAGTCTGGGGATGCATGCAGGCATGGATGCTCTCGAACAAGCTCTGTAAACCCAGCTCAGCCCCCGGAAGGCCAACCATGAGCCAAACGCTTGGTCCGATTGGGAGAAGCCACATCACAACCAGGCTAGCGCGCGCGTTTGAGGATCTGATGCTCTCTTACTCAACTTGTTCAATGAGCTTTAATGAGCGTTATAGGCTGCTGTTCGAGGAGTGTAGGCCGGAACTGAGGCTCGTGTACGAAGCATCAATGAGTGCAACACGCGACGCCGAAGCGTGAGTATAAGCATGGTGAAAGTACCGCAGTCAGGAGTCGAGTGGCTCCGGAAATTGGAATCGTCGCAACCGCTCGCAGGCCTCACAGGGACAGCAGGCAAGTGCTGGCCGCAAGATGGAGTCATCTCTGTTTTGGTTGAGTGAGGATCTGTGAGGATCTACCAGGTCTCAGGCATGTAAGGCATCCGAAAGTGAGGCAGGGAGGCACAGAGCAGGCACAGAGCGCTTGCCAGGACGAAGCATCAGACCCTTGGGCCAATTGGCAATCGCAAAGTGATGGTCAGGACACAAGAACGCCTGGATTCCTCCAATGCCTTTGTTCGACATGTCAGAAGCCTTTAAAACAGAGCTCGCTGTTTGGCCCCACCCAAGCAATCACTCCGAAAATACAGAACAAGTGCCTGAAAGCTTTTTTCGATTCGACAGTAAAGTTGTTGCCGGATTTTCCAAGTGATCGAGCAAAGCGCGTTTGCGTTTGCTGTTTGAAGGGATCACTGATCACCCTGACCGTTCTGTCACCCACCCGTCTGCTTCTTTGTGGACCCCAACTAGTAATCAGGTGCCACATCTTGTCGAGCCAAGATACTTCGACAAAGCAAAAACCAGCACGCACAGTGGACGTGAATTAGGCACAGGTCAGCAAGGTGCCCTAGGGCTCGGCAAGGCTTTCGTGTGATCCTTGTACTTCAGATGTTGTAGGGGGTCGGGTAACCTCTCCCATCCAAGCTGCAGGACACCTGGGGCGGTGCTACAGGCCTCGACAGCAACATCAAAGCTGACAGGGGCTTGCTGCAACGAATCTGGTTGTGCCGTATTGTGCTTGTGCCAGCAGCAGTTGGGTTTCCGACCCTGGCCTTCCCGCACCAGCATCGCCCTTAGCTGCCTTAGCTCTGTTGTCCCGACAGGTTCGAAAGACAAGGACTGGGATGGCGTAAATCGTTGGGCTTCGCACTCAGCTGTGCCTGTCAAACCCTTAGTGCATTGATGTCTGTATGGGTGCGTAATGGTTGGGGACAAGACGTGGAGACGCAGAGATGCGAAGACACTTGCCGCGCGAAGTCAGCGGCTTCAAACATCCACGGCGTCAACGGCGCCAGTGAACGTCGCTGGATAGATCGTCTCACTGCTGCCTGTGGGAACACAAGCCAGCAGCTCCCCCTCCTTTTCGGGGGGCGAGGGCCTGTGTTTTTATGGGGCAGGGGGGACCTTGAATGTCTACAGCGCGCTTGTTAGCGCACTCTCTTGCAAATTTTCAAGTTATATGGACAGAGATGCCGTGTATGTTTGTGTTTATGTATATATGCATACATATCTGCATCACCTATACCTTAAGCCTTGAAGATTGTGGCTAGTCGGAGGGCGGATGCCGAGAGAAGATTCGGAGAGGGGCTCGGGCTCGGGGGGTCAGGATCGTTCAACGGGCGCCCCCAAACCCCAAACCACAAACCCCTAACCCCTAAACCCCAAACCCCAAACCCTAAACCCTAAAATATTCCGCTTTGGCACCTGTTGAGGCCACTCAGCTCTTAGAGCAGGATGAAGTGGACTGGACGACCCGACCGTGGCAGCCCCGGATAGTTTCTCCACCTCCGTGATCTGGCGTCAACTGGGTCAAAGGACCGTCGACGTCAAGAAGGACTTCTCCCAGGAGCGCGAATAGTTTTGCCGCAATGCCTTCCAAAATCAGCGAGCGTTCCACGGCGGCAAGCGACGAGCCTTGTCTCAGGAGCTCGGCCATCACAATTCCAGATCAAAAGAAGAAATCGAAGAGATGCGACAGCTTGTAGCTCAGTGCTTTCTAGTCGGAGTAACATGATGCCAACTTGGGACCCTGAAGGCCCTCATGTCGAGATGTGCTGAGGCGAAGCGGAATCGAGATCCTCGATGGGGACAGCCCAGTGCTCAGAATCATCGTCCTCTGCCTACCGGTAACGGCGTAGCATGCACCGCGCAGAAGTATGAAAGCCAGGCGAAGAGCATCCCGTCCCAGGCCTCATCGACAACTTTGACGAGGTTGGCTATGATATGACTGATCTGACTGATGTGACTGACGAACATGACTAGCACAGCAGTTCGCCAACCGAATTTTCCAGGCAGTAAGACAAATTCAAAGTCCGGCAGGCGTGCTGGCCGCAAGAAGTACAGCAAGCGTTGGTCGCAGAGGGCTTTGAGGCTTCGGTCAGATGATGAAGCGGCAGAGGTGATGATGGAGTCTAGCCTCCCGCAGGAACCAACTCCGATCCAGAAGCAGATCTGGTGCAGTCCTTACTGGGGCCCTTAATCCATCGTTGAACGTGTTTATCGCCGGTTCCCCGGTGGGGCGGGGTTTCAAGCTATTGTTTCGAGACCAGGCCCATCGCAACAAAGGGCCGCGACGTGGTGGGCATCGCAGAGACAGGCCCAACTTCGGCATAAAAGCACAGTTCTGGATCCTGTGCAAATCTCTTCGCAAGAGTGCGATCAATATCCAAAATCTTGAGCATCCAACCTGCCTCGATTTGAGCATCCCAAATGTCAAATCCTAAGACTCGTTCCCGCGCACCTGCAGACATTGGCACATTGGTACTGCATGGCACCGGCGCAGGATCCGGCAAGACAGTGTCGTACGTCCTGCCGATGATTACCCATATCCGGAATCAGGCCAGGGATGTAGCGAAGTTTTGGCATTCGGAGTCTCTGGAAATTGGGGGCTGCAGAGAGACCAGGCGCAGCCGCTGGAAGCCGGCGACGGCCCTGTGGGGCTGGTTTTGGCCCCAACTCGCGAGCTCGCGAGGCAGATTTTGAGAGCCGGGCACCCTGTCATGGGGTTGGGTGTTTCTCATGTTTCTGCTGTGTGCTCGCGAGAGCCACCTTGTAGATCGGCTACAGGTCTGCGAAAGGTATGGCGGGCAGGGGCCCAAGACAGGGAAAGCCCTTGAGTTTCGGGTTAGCCCTGATCGACGCGGGCCTTGGCAAACATGTCGTGTCGCCCCAAGTCAGCCGCTACATGTCTGTGCTGCACACCGGCCGAGGTTGCACGACATGAAATCAACGACGATAGTTGGCGGCACGAAGATTGATGCGCAGAAACAAATGCTTCAGGAGACCGTTGTCGTCTTGTGGGATCATGCGGGTCAAGCCCAGAAGGGATATAGGCACATTGGATATTAAGAGAAACCTTCAGGGCAGGGGTCACGAGCTGTAACGTGAAGCCCCAAGCATCGAATCGCAAGGAGCAAAACCACATCATTGTGGCCACCCCTGGACGCTTCCTTCAGGCCTGTGGGCGCTGTGGGCGCAACACTTTGCATAATCACCAGCATGGCAAAAGCGGCGGAATTGGTTCTGCCATCTCGACACTTCAGTCTCTGTCCCAAGCGTGGTGTAAGAGCACAATCTTGTCGGCAGCCTTGTGCCAGCAGTTTCGCTGACTTCAGGCCTTGGGTGACGAATGGACGACGCTGAACCGGTGCACGCCCGGAGACCCTGCTTGCCTTGTGGTGCAATCTACGGTTCACCACGCTGTGTAACGGTGCTCATGCTGAGGTTCGTCGTTCTGGATGAAGCGGACGAGCTTTTGAAGAAAGAGGGGTTTGAGTATGACATCAGGCGCAGTTGTTTCGAGGTTCCTCCACAAAGCATTGGGCATGTTCTTGTTCACCAAACTCTGCTCAGGGCTATCATGACGCAGGAGCCGGCCTCAGCCTTCCCATGCTTTTGTTGTCGTAGTGCAGAGATGTTTTCAAGTAGCATGCCAGCCAAAGTGTAGGTAGTGGGCAAAGCGAGAGCTTTGTGATGTTCGCCAGATGGCTTCATGCAACTGTGTCAGGTGCGAAAAGAGCGTCAGGTGCTGATGTTCAGTGCCACGTGGCCCGAGGCCCGCTGACACGTTTTTCGCCAGAGCGGGACCCTATGGACCCGACGGGACCCCACCATATTGACAAGTGCGACAGACAATTGAAAGTCTTGTAGCAGGCCGACAGGCCTCTGTGGTCTTTGTTCAGGGTTGGCAAGCACGTGTCAACGCTTAGCATCCTCTCCAATGAATTGTCAGGACGTGCAGAACCTTGCTGGAGAGAGCCTCACCCAGCACGAATTTAAAGTGAGGGCAGTTTCAATCTTATGTGCAAACCTGGGGATTTCATGCTTCGGACTTAAGGTTCTGACATGGTAACTCAGGATTTGCACTGCGAAAGACGATGGACCACCTGCGATGGGCTCAAGCGGCTTGCGCGTTCAGCGAAGTGGGCATCTTGCGTTCGAATAGAGGTTTGGAGCCCGAATGTTTGGATGATTAAACCCTAAACCCAAAACCCTAGACCCTAAACCTAAACCCTAAATCCAAAACCCTAAACCCTAAACCTAGACCCTAAGCCCTATTGGGAGTTCTCAGTGTTCTCCGAGGTCCACGTCCGCATCGGCGGAAACCGGCTGGCGGCATGCAGCTTGGCTGCACAGCCGCTGGGAGATGCGCCCAATCGTCTGGCATGGGACATGTTTGTGGACAAGCCATTTTGCCGAAAAAAACACAAATAAAAAATAAATAAATATAAATAGACATAAATACAAAAATAAATACATAACTATAAATTAATAAATTAAAAGACGTAAATAAACAAAAAAAAATATATATATATATATATACATATATATATATATATATGGTACCCCCCCCAGTTATCCAAACCTTTTCTGCTGTTTTTCTTGTTCTGGCACTGCGTATTGCTTTCTGTTCGTTCGTGATTTGTTTTCTTTGTCCCAGCGTGTTAATTTATATTTTCTTTCTTTCTTTATATCTGGTTGCTTATGTATATGTAAATATTACACCAGTAGAGACCGGTACAAACCGGTACAAATCGGTACAAGTTGTACCGTTTTGTACCGGCTTGTACCGGCCCGTGTGTTTCGACAAGTTTAAGGATTTTAAGGGCTGTAGAAAATTTAAATGGGCCGGGCCTTTTCCCAAAATAACTATTTTGTTCAACATTTCAAGGATTACAGGAATTTCCGGGTTTTAAAAAATTCAAACGGGCCGGGCCTTTCCCAAAATATTTTATCTTGTTTCAAGATTTTACGGATTTTAAGCATTTAAGCGGCCTTTTACATTCCTTAAAACCCTTAAAACTTTGAAAGCCACAGGCCTTTCAAAATCTTAAGGAGCCTGAGGGTTTTAAAGAACTGAAGTGTCCTTTTCAATTCCCAAAAATCCTTAAAACTTTGAAAGGGGAACAGAACCATCAAACAGTACGTAAAGGTGAGTCGTACACAGGGCTATAAGGTTCTAATCCTTTCGGTAATGCCTCAACCTTACACCTTCGAACCCTATAAGCCTATAGGGTTTAAACCCGAATTATAGGGCTAACCCTGTGAAGGCTTTAGAGATAAACCTTGGAAAATCCTGAACCGTTAAACTTTATGGGGTTTAAAGGTTTAAAGACCTAAGGTCTGGGCATGTTTTCCTTCAGCCCCTATAGGGTTAAAGCTTTTAAGGCTTTTAGAACCCCATAGGCTTTGAGGGTTCTGACCCCAAAGGGCTTAGGATTTAGATTTAAATGCCTAAACCGTAAGCCCTTCTGGCTTGAACTCCATGGGCTTATAAACCTACCTTGAAGACCCCTAAACCTTTGAACCCGATACATGGTGTGGGTACTTATTCTGCTTCTTCTTTGCATTTCCACCAAGCCCTATAAACAGAGGCACAACCATATGGGGTTTTAGGTTTAGGGATTTAAGCCTCAAGCCTTATAGGGTTTTCAGGCTCTAATCCTGAAGGCAATGCCTAAACCTTAAGCCCTAAACTGTTGAACCCTATAGGCCTATAGGGTTCCAACCCTATAGGGCATACTAGAGGGCTAACCCCGTGAGGGCGCTAGAGATAAACCTTGAAAAAGCCTAAGCCCTTAGACCTTATGGCGTTCAAAGGTGTAAAAACTAAGGTCTGGGCACGTATACCTTCAGCGCCTATGGGGTTAAAACTTTTCAGCCTTGTAGAGCCCTGTAGGCTTCAGGGTTGTGACCCTAAAGAGTTCAGGTTTAGATGCCTAATTCGTAAACCCTTAAGGTTTAAACTCTGTGGGCTTAGGTTTAAATACCTAGATCTTAAATCTTCAAACCTATTTACCCTAGAGACTTTAAAGGTTAAGGGTTTAGGTGTGATTGCCTAACCTTGAAACTCTATGGATCTAAAGGTTCAGGTTTCAGGTTTAACCCTAAACCCTATCGGCTTTAAGCCTTTAACCCTATAGGGTTTCGGGGCCTCTCTTTTTATAAGACTTAAACCTTAACCGACAGGGTTCTGAGATAAGCCCCGAAAAAAAGCATTTACAAAGACCAGGGAGCGGAGCGGAAGGGAGGGGAGTGGAGGAGGTCGCTGTGCCCAGTGTTTGGACAGATGGAGAGGACTCAACATCTCAAGGATTGCATACATTTATGTTATGTAGAGGATTGGGTTATTCGGGGGGGGTGGGGAGGGGAGTTCAGAGGTCACCGCGGCCCGTGAACGATCTAATTGGCTCGCAACCACAAAAAACATGGACAGCCACAAAAAGCGTGGATAACCCGGGGGGGGGGGGGGGGGGGTAGCACATATATATATATATACACATATACTATATGTAAATACACATCTACATATATACATATATATGTATATATGTATATATGTGTGTGTTCCCCCCAAAAAGCACCTTCAAACCACGCAAAGCCTCAACACCGTGAGGGTTTTTAGAGATGAACCCTGAAAAGCGTTAACCTTTAAACCCTATAGGGTTTAATGGTTCACAAACCTAAGGTCTGGGCAGAGCCCTATGAAGTTTTAGGGTTCTGACCCTAAAGGTTTAGGGTTTAGATATAAATGCCTCACCCTTAAACCCTAAGGTTTAAGCTTTATGGGCTTAGGTTTAAATGCCTAAATCTGAAACGCTGAACCTTTAAACCTCAACCCTATAGGGTTCAAAGGTTAAGGGTTTGGGTTTAATTGCCCTATACATGTTTAAGTGCGTAAATCTTAAACCCTAATCCTTTAAACCTAAGCCTATAGGGTTTCAAGGTTAAGGGTTTGCGCTTAATTGCTTCACCCGAAAGGGTTTTGGGGCTTCTCTTTAAAACCCTATACTCTTAACCGATTTACCGATAGGCTTTAAAGAATTTGCGTTAAAAACCAGGGAGCGCAGTGGAGCGAAGGGCACCCATACTCCCTTTGTTTTGCCCAACCCTCGGTGTGGGGTTGTTAGATTTTAAACTCAACTCTGCTCCTCGCCCGGAACTCTTCTCCTCGCCCGGTCTACTCCTACTCCTCGATGATGCCTGGAGTGCCCAACTCTAGAGTGTCCCGGGAGTGCCCAACCCCAGAGTCTCCCTGGAGTGCCCAACCCCATATTCCTAGAGTGCCCCACCCAAAAGTGCCCCCGGAGTGCCCTGTGGCCAACCCAGGGGCCCAGCCCCGAGGCCCCCTGGAGTGCCCAGTCCCCGGAGTGCCCAGCCCCAGAGTATCTCTACCTCTCTAGGGTGGGGATGTTCGAAGTAAAATGTTTTTGGTTGTATTGGTTAGGGGGGATACATATCGTGCACACTGAAACCATCCGAGGCAAGAACGTCGTCCAGAGAGCCGAGATTGTAGATGGAGACGATGCCAGGCTCTCGGCTTCCAGCGCGTGACCTTCGCATTTGGGCTTAGGGTTTAGGGTTTATAAGGGTTTAGGGTTGAGGGTTTAGGGTTAATGTCCAACCCCACAGCGGGTGCACTTTCACCCCATGGGACAATCACAGGGCTGCAAGGAATCATACATACGACCGTACGAAGAATAACTGATCCCGGTGCCCCTATTCAAGTGCCTTGATCCCCCCACAGAAAAAATGTCGCGCCGTGTGACGCGCCTCCTTCGCGGGCGATGCTTGGAACGCTGTCTCTTCGGGCTGAGCCGCCTGGGGCAAGGCAGAACCTTCTACAGCCCAGAGGCCTCGGATGGTTCAGGGTTGCTGAAATGGGGGTTTATGATAACAAGGGACCCCTAATATAGACCCCCAAATGGTAAATAGTGGGATGCCCTTATTTTAAGGGGCTGCGCCCATGGGCGGGCAGCGCACGCAGAAGCCCGGGGCGAGCAGTTTCTAAGCATGTTGAGGCCCCTAAACTCCCTTAAAATCTCTAAGCGTTAAGTTTCTAAGCATTTTCAGGCCCCTAAACTCCCTTCAAATCTCTAAGCGTTTGAGGCTCCTAGACTCCCTTAACGTTTCTAAGCACTTTATAAGGCCCCTAAACTCCCTTTTTCCTAGCCCCGGGCTTAGACACGTCGCTTATGCCCGCCCTTTGGGGGGCATCATGCTCCTGATGCGCCCCCGGGGTCCCGCCCCGGGAGCCGCTGATGCTCCTGATGCGCGCCTGGGGGTCCCGGGCTGGACCCGCTGATGCTCATGATGCGCGCCCTCTGGGGGCCTCCGTGGCGACGCAAAAAACCACGAAAAAAAAACCGTTCACCGGCGGCACGCGGGGGTCGGCGGCACTGGCGTCCGGCCTAATTCTGCTTCGCAGAAGGCCAGAGGCCAGCAAGGCTATTCCCGGGACGACCCGGGCTAAAAGGTCCGCATTTGCTCGGTCCTTTGGGGACCTCGCGCTGCCCGATTTAATGGCTACCGCCAGTGCCGCCGACCCCAAAACCGCCAGAGTTCCGCGGAGCCACTTCACTGGGCACGAGAGTCTTGGAGGCAGTAAGAATGGCCCGAAACCCCAAACCCCAAACCCCAAACCCCTCAAGCCCCCCAAGCACCAAATCCCAACCCTAAACCCTAAACCCGAAACCCTATAATGTGGTCTCCTGATTAGTGCGGGGCCCCCCTCCCCCCCCCCAAACTAAATCCACCCCCGTAATAGTGTCAAAAAAAAAGGGACCCCCCTAAACTAATTTTCGGTTCCGGCCCCCCCCCCCCCCCACCGGCTCCTCTTCATTTCCTCTTCGCTCCTCTTCCCTTTAGGGTTTAGGGTTTAGGGTTTAGGGTTTAGGGTTTAGGGTTTAGGGTTTAGGGTTTAGGGTTTAGGGTTTAGGGTTTAGGGTTTGGGACCAGGAGCCACGGGTCCATGAGAAGCATGAGGGGTAGGTCAAGGGGATGGAGAGTGGGAGCATGGGCCAAAGAAAAGTGAGTAGGCGGCGGAGGGCGGAGCGGGCGGAGCGGGCGGAGCGGGCGGAGGGCCCGGGCATGCACTGAGCCAATGGGGCCAGGAGCCATGGGTCCAGTGGGGGACGGGGTGCTTGGCAGCCATGCAGGTCGAGGGATGAATGGGGTGTGTGGGGGTGGGGGTTGGGGGTGGGGGTGGAGCCATGACGCCAGGAGCAAGGGGCCCATGACAAGCACGGGCGGCGGGGCAGGGTGCGTGCGGGGTGGGGGTGGGGGTTGCGGGTGGGGGTGGAGCAGCTCAAGGGATGAAGAATAGGACCAGGAGCCATGGGTCCATGAAAAGCATGGCGGGGTGCGTGGGGGGCTTGGGCAAGGGGAATGTATGCGGAGCGGGAAGGGCGGCAGCCACATCCATGGGCCGTGGACCATGAGCCAATGGGGCCAGGCCAGTGGGGGGCGGGGTGCGTGGGGGGTGGGGGTGGGGGCGGTGGGGGTGGGGTGGGGGTGGGGGTTTGGGGTGGGGGTGGAGCCATGGGGCCAGGAGCCATGGGCCATGGGTCCATGACAAGCGTGGGCGGCGGGGCAGGGTGCGTGCGGGGTGGGAGGGGTTGGGGGTGAGGGGCCATTTTTCGGACCAGCATTGGCAGCCATGCAGGTCGAGGGATGAAGAATGGGACCAGGAGCCATGGGTCCATGAGAAGCATGGCGGGGTGCGTGGGGGGCTTGGGCAAGGGAGGGAGTATGCGGAGCGGGAAGGGTAGAGGTGGTGGGGGTAGGGGCGGAGAAGCCACCTGCTTGGGCCGTGGACCACAAGGAATGGGGAGCCATGGGGCCAGGAGCCATGGGTGCGTGAGGGGTAAGGGGTAGGGAGCTGGGTCCATGAGGGGTAGGTCAAGGGGATGGAGAGTGGGAGCATGGGCGCCAGAGGGGAGTAGGCGGAGCTGGAAGGGCGGAGGGCGGAGCGGGCGGAGGGAGCGGAGCGGCGGAGGGCCCACTGGGGCCCTTTAAAGTCAGCTGAGAAGCCACATCCATGTGGACCATGAGGCAATGGGGCGGTGGGGGTGGGGGTGGGGGGGTTGGGGGTGGGGGTGGGGCCAGGAGCCATGGGTCCATGACAAGCGTGGGCGGCGGGGCAGGAGCCATGGGTCCATGAGAAGCATGGCGGGGTGCGTGGGGGGCTTGGGCAAGGGAGGGAGTATGCGGAGCGGGAAGGGTGGAGGTGGTGGGGGTAGGGGCGGAGAAGCCACCTGTGGACCATAATGAATGGGGAGCCATGGGGCCAGGAGCCATGGGTCCATGAGGGGCATGGGTGCGTGAGGGGTAAGGGGTAGGGAGCTGGGTCCATGAGGGGTAGGTCAAGGGGATGGAGAGTGGGAGCATGGGCCAGAGGGGAGTAGGCGGAGCTGGAAGGGCGGAGCGGGCGGAGGGCCCGGGCATGCACTGCCGCCCTTTAAAGTCAGCTGAGAAGCCACATCCATGGGCCGTGGACAGCCATGGGTCCAGTGGGGGGCGGGGTGCGTGGGGGGGGTGGGGTGGGGGTGGGGGTGGGGTGGGGGGGGTGGGGGTGGGGGTGGGGGTTTGGGGTGGGGGTGGAGCCATGGGCCAGGAGCCATGGGTCCATGACAAGCGTGGGCGGCGGGGCAGGGTGCGTGCGGGGTGGGAGGGGTTGAGAAGCATGGCGGGGTGCGTCGGGGGCTTGGGAGAAGCATGGCGGGGTGCGTGGGGGGCTTGGGCAAGGGAGGGAGTGTGCGGAGCGGGAAGGGTAGAGGTGGTGGGGGTAGGGGCGGAGAGGGGTGGGGGTTTGGGGTGGGGGTGGAGCCATGGGCCAGGAGCCATGGTCCATGACAAGCATGGGCAGGGTGCGTGCGGGGTGGGAGGGGTTGGGGGTGGGTCCATGAGAAGCATGGCGGCTTGGGCAGGAACCATGGGTCCATGAGGGGCATGGGTGCGTGAGGGGTAAGGGGTAGGGAGCTGGGTCCATGAGGGGTAGGTCAAGGGGATGGAGAGTGGGAGCATGGGCGCCAGAGGGGAGTAGGCGGAGCTGGAAGGGCGGAGGGCGGAGCGGGCGGAGCGAGCGGAGCGGGCGGAGGGCCCGGGCATGCACTGGGGCCCTTTAAAGTCAGCTGAGAAGCCACATCCATTGGCCGTGGACCATGAGCCAATGGGGCGGTGGGGGTGGGGGTGGGGGGGTTGGGGGTGGGGGTGGAGGCGTGGGCGGCGGGGCAGGGGTTGGGGGTGAGGGGCCATTTTTCGGACCAGCATTGGTAGCCATGCAGGTCGATGGGCAAGGGAGGGAGTATGCGGAGCGGGAAGGGTAGAGGTGGTGGGGGTAGGGGCGGAGAAGCCACCTGTGGACCATAATGAATGGGGAGCCATGGGGCCAGGAACCATGAGAGGCATGGGTGCGTGAGGGGAAGGGGTAGGGAGCTGGGTCCATGAGGGGTAGGTCAAGGGGATGGAGAGTGGGAGCATGGGCCAGAGGGGAGTAGGCAGAGCTGGAAGGGCGGAGGGCGGAGCGGGCGAGCGAGCGGAGGGCCAGGGCATGCACTGCGGCCCTTTAAAGTCAGCTGAGAAGCCACATCCATGGGCCGTGGACCATGGGCCAATGGGGCCAGGAGCCATGAGTCCAGTGGGGGGCGGGGTGGGGGTGGGGGCGGTGGGGGTGGGGGTGGGGGTGGGGGTTTGGGGTGGGGGTGGAGCCCTGGCCAGTGGGCGGCGGGGCAGGGTGCGTGCGGGGGGTTGGGGGTGAGGGGCCATTTTTCGGACCGGCATTGGCAGCCATGCAGGTCGAGGGATGAAGAATGGGACCAGGAGCCCATGAGAAGCATGGCGGGGAGCGTGGGGGGCTTGGGCAAGGGAGGGAGTATGCGGAGCGGGGGAGAGGTGGTGGGGGTAGGGGCGGAGAAGCCACCTGCTTGGGCCGTGGACCACAAGGAATGGGGAGCCATGGGGCTAGGAGCCATGGGTCCATGAGGGGGTGCGTGAGGGGTAAGGGCAGCACAATGCTTTCAGAACCCGTGAAACCAGCGGAGATGCCATGTGAGGCTATGCAAGGGCAGTTTCGGCCTCGCTATGCTGGAGTAAAGGTTCGGCCTCGCCTCGGCTGAGGGAATGGATGGTTCGGCCTCGCCAAGGCTGAGGGAACAACAGAAGGGTTGCGAAAACGCCTCGCTGATGAAGAAGGTGCATGATGTTCCGGCCTCGCATCAGCTGAGGGAAGAATGATGGAATGGGCAGGCCGGGCACTTATTGGTCTGCCGGAATTGAGTCTGGGAGACTCTGGAAGCACTGCATGCAGCTTGGACGGCTGATGCTACTGGGCGCAAAGCGGTAAAGCAGCTTGAAGCATAGACTCCGCGGTGCCGGTGTGTCGGAGCAATTGATAGGTACAACCGCAGCCCAGCAGTGCTCAATCAAACAATGCAACATTCGGCCTCGACTTTGGTCTGAGGGAATGTGAGCTATAAAGAGCAAACTCCAGAATATGGATGAGGGACACTGGCCAGGCATGGAGGCCA